CCTACTCGCACAGGCCTAGAGGGCATAGCCCCTGCTCCCAGCACCTTCCACCACCTGTCAGAGCACAGCCTGGTCCACCTTGCCCTGTGGAGATCCAGGGGTGCACACCTGCTCCCACACCGTATTGGACTGGTGGCTTGCAGTGGCGGGAGCCCCCCTCCCTGAGTCCTGTGCCACCGTGCCTGGGCTGGGCAGCTTGCCCAAACCCCAATCCTTCCCTCACTGTAGCAGCATTGATCTGCTCCCCTTCCGGCCCTACTTCACCCACCACAACAGACTTAGTCTTGGAGCATTTTTTTTTTTTTTTTTGCATGGATATTAAAAACATCTGACTACATATGCAGAAGTCATTAGCACTTAGACACTTGAACATTTGCTGGTAGGTTCTTAAGTCTCCTCTCAGAGGCCAATGAGTTAAATTGATGAAATCGTTCTGAAGACTCGTTATCCTTTTCCTTTACTGTTTTAAGAAAAATCTTTTAAATAGAATGAGTTAAACTCTCAGCAACTGTTCATTATCCCAGCTGAGTACATGGCATTCACTTGTAGTTTTCCTTTTTTATACTTGCTAAGGACCTGCCCCATGAGGCAAAGCCTCATCTCATGAATTGCCAACATCGATGAAATGGTAACATAGACTAGGCATGCAGAAGCAGGCCTCCTTGACAATTGTGAATTGTCCTACAACAATCTCAACAGATGAGCTGTTACCTTACACATTCCAAAAAGAAGAAAAGTTCAAGAATTCTAGATCCATCTCAGAAGGTGGAGCAGTAAACATGCACGTCACTTGTTAAGGTCTGTGTTCTTACTAACAAAATGCTGAGAACGTGGACCAGTTAGGAAGATCTGTTCTGCAGTTCCAAACCCCTGTTCCTCCATTGCACAAATCTTCGCTTCACCCAATATATTTCCTAATGCTCCTCCCTGACCAAAAGCTCCAGTTGAGACCTCTATACTCAGCAAAGTAATGATGATCATAATGAGGGGCAATCATTCACGAACGATTAAGATTGTCGTAGTGAGTATGTTTCCAGGAGACGTGGGCACTGTTTTGCTGCATTGGGTGTTCTGATGTTCTTTCCGCCTGTTCCTCTTTTCCTCTTCTGCCTGTTGACGAGCTCGTTCAAAGTCTTGAGGTCCCTCCCAAAGAGCCTTCCTCCATTTTGGTCAGTCCTGAGCAAGGGTCTCCCAAGTGTTTGATGTCGGTGTTACACCTCTTCATGTTTGCCTTCAGGGTGTCTTGGAAGTGCTTTCCTTACCCTCCACTACTTCACTGACCTTCTTTCAGCTCTGGGAAAAAGATTCTCTTTGGAAGACAGAAGTCAGGCTTGCAAACAACGTGACCTGTCCAGCGAGTTTGGCTTTGCATGATAATGGCCTCAATGCTGTTGGAATTTGCTTCAGACAAGATGCTGATGTTTGTGCATCTATCCTCCCAGATAATCTGAAGGATCTTGTGCAGGCACTGTTAGTGGTATTTTTCCAAGCACTTGAGATGTCTTCTGTATGTGGTCCAAGTCTTCAAGCCATACAGCAGAGTTGGAATGACAATGGCTCAATTAAACCAAGAGCTTTGTTTCAGCAAGGATCTCATGATTTAAGAAGACTGTCGTACTCGGACATTCAAAGGCTGCACTAGCACATTTCAAGTGGCATTGTTTTTTCCATGTCAATGTCTGCCTTTGATGAAAGATGGCTTCCAATATAGGCAAAGTAATCCATGTTCTCCAGCATTTCTCCATTGATTGGAATGGAGGGGGGCATTGTTTTTCCACTTTGGAGCAGGTTTGAAAACTAGCTTACAGTTGTTTAAGTAATTCTTTAACAAAGGTTTTGATTCTCACATGGTTGGGGAAAAATTGAGCACTGGGGAATCTAATCTGTCACCCTCACTTCCAGCCGTCCGGAACACACGTACAATGGGAAATACATATACAGGTCAAGTTTCTTACTCCAGATGCTGAAGTGGCTGCAGTTTGAAATAGGAGGGAGAGAAACTTTGTTTTGTGTTGGAGTTAAGAAATATTCAGGAAAAAATAAGAAATGTAAGCAGGGCTGGATTTTATATTGGGAAATTGGAATTGTGTTTTCTGAGTGTGTGTGTTTGTGTTGGTTCATGTTGTAATTGGAACACGTCGGACCAGACTCAATTAATCGAGTCTGTCAGTGTTCTAATTGCAATGCTGTGATGTCGCCTTACCTTCACGTGGATTAAGCTCCCCCACATTTCAAAATATCTGCAGAGGCGCTTTAATGAAATCTCATGAAATGAGCCTTAAATGAAGGACCTCATGGCCATTTTGAAAGGGGTGGAGGCATAATATACATGACCATGACCTGTTTTAATCAGACAGGCTGTCCAGGGACTGCTCTAAATAACACCACCCTTCCACCTGCCTTCAAGCATGTGAATAGGCAGCCCATGTGTTAATGATGCAGACAGATGAATTAAATGGGTGGACCAGAGCCAGATGCTGTTCAACATGGGCACTGTGAAGTGCTCCATCTGGGGAGGAAAACTCTGCACCAAGCTTATAGGCTCAGTGGTGCTACACTACCTAACACCACATGTGAAAGGGACCTGGGGGTTATAATTGACCATAAAATGAATATGAGCCACCAATGTGATGCTACAGTTAGCAGAGCAAACAATACGCTGGCATGCATCGACCAATGCATCTCGAGCAAAACTAAGGCAGTTATTCTCCTGCTATACTCGGCATTGGTGACATCACAGCTGGAGTACTGCATCCAGTTCTGGGTGCCACACTTCAAGAAGGATGTGCAGGAGGTTGAGATGAGTGGCTCTTCTGTAAACTCTATAATGACAGGCCTGAAGAGCAAGCCATATGAGAAAAGGCTGATAGATATGAACTGAAAAGAGAAGACTTTGAGGGTACTTGGTGGCAGCTTACAAAAAAATCAGGGGAGAGTAGCAGGGGCTAGGCAAACAACTATTCACCGAAGTGCCATGGAGAAAACCAGGAGCAACAGTCACACTACTAGAAGGTTTCAGCCTGGATATAAGGAAAAACTTTATTAATGGTTAGTGTGACCAGACACTGGAATAGACTCCCAGCAGGGGTGGTGCAGGCACCTACACTGGACATCTTCAAAAGGAGACTAGAAATGCACCTTGCTAGGGTTTGTGGACCCCAGCAGCCTTTCCTGCCCAGAGCAGGGGGGCTGGACCCAGTGATCTCTCAAAGTCCCTTCCAGCACTAAACTTCTCTGAATCTGTGAAAGAATGAACAAATCCTTCAACAGTGACATCAATGTGAGTGACATGAGTAACATGTCCAGTTCTGGGCAACCCACTTCAAGAGGGATGTGGACAACATTGAGAGGGTCCAGAGGAGGGCCACCTGCATGATCTGGGGACAGCAGGGCAGACCCTACCATGAGAGGCTACGGGACCTGAACCTGTTCAGCCTTCACAAGAGAAGGCGGGGGGGGGACCTGGTGACCATCTAGAAACTCACTAGGGGGGACCAGAAGGGTTTGGGATAGACCTTGTTTCCTCTAGCGCCCCCCGGGATAACAAGGAATAACGGCCCCACGTTGTTGGAGAGTAGGTTTAGATTAGACATCTATAAGAACTACTTCACTGTCAGGGTGACCAGGATCTAGAACCAACTTCCAAGGGAAGTGGTCCTGGCTCCTACCCTGGGGGTCTTTGAGAAGCGGCTCGATGCCCACATGGCTGGGGGCATTTGAGCCCCGGTTTCTTCCTGCCCAGGCAGGGGGTCGGACGTGAAGATCTACAAGGTCCCTTCCGACCCGACTTCTATGAATGCTCACAAACCGACAGGCAGGGAAGAAGAATACAAGTTTCCTTTAATTTCTTTTTCCCCACCACAAAAAGTCCTGACCACTTTTTCCTTCATCTAACCATGTCCCTAATGATGTCTCCTTTGAGGCACCTGCCCTGTTTACCTCCTGGCTACAACACCATTAAAACCCTCGTAGTTTAATTTTGGATCCAAGACCTTTGTCACAGGGTAAGTTTTTCAGTGCCACATCTGAACATAGAAATAGGAAGAAGCATACTATAGGGTAGGTAGTGCAGAAACAGGCTCTCTTACCATTTATGTGTTGTCTTACATTGAAATCAGAAGAATAAATGTTACTTTAAACATTCCTAGAAAAAGCAAAAGCTCAAGGAACTCCAGTCTATGGCAGAGGACAGAGCTAGCAACAAGGGTGTTACCATAGTTACTGGCACAGCACACGTACCTTTTACCCCAAAGCAGTCTTCATTTAAACAGAAACGTGGAAGAAGAGAAGCACTGAGACCCTACTGCAAGATGGCTGCCATGCATCTCCCTCTGCCAGTCTTGGAGAGAGGGTGGATAGCTTGGGGACTTGGGCTCGTCTGGGGACAGCAACAGCAGTTGTGGTGGGTGCAGTGGGTGGATTCCCCATCTGTATGTACCCCTTCTCCTGGGACGAGAGGGAACACTTGAGGAGTGGGTTGGGAGGGGAAAACCTGCTGCTGCTGTTTTGGGCTGAGCCCTGCTGCTGCTGTTCTGGGCTGAGCCCATCTCCCTGCTGGAGCGCAGCAGGAACAGCTGTGGAGTTCAGCCCACCTGCAGGGCAGCCAGAGGTAGAGGGGGCAGTGGCAGCGGTGGGTGTGTAATGGAGGAAGGGGAGGGAGAGTGTCTCTGTGCATAAAGGGGAAGCAACAGGAGAATTCTTGCGTGATTCATAGACATAAAGTGCCCGGCTGCTGCTCGCATAGTGTGGTCGGAAAGGGGAATAGGACTGTGCCACTACATTTCCTTGTGTATCCCTCTCTCCTATCTCCCCTTTAGCCAGCTTAGAACCCTGTCCCAAATACACATGTGGGCTCTCTCCCACATGCACATGCCAAAAGCCTGCCAGCTCCACATCATTTTGGGGGGTTATGTCCTCTGCATCCAGCACTGCTTTCTTAAGGCTTTCCTAAGGGCCCTGTGCACATCCTTGTTCCTCAGGGTATAGATCAGGGGGTTCACCATTGGAGTGATGATGCCATAGAAGAGGGAAACTATCTTGCCCTGGTGCTGTGGGTGCTGAGAGGGGGGCTGCAGGTAGACGTAGATGGCTGTGCCAAAGAAGATTGACACTACAACTAAGTGGGAGGTGCAAGTGTTGAAGGCCTTGCGTCTGCCCTCAGCTGAGCGGATCCTCAGTACTGCAGCACCAATGTAGCTGTAGGAGACCAGGATGAGGCCCAGAGGTACTGGCAAGAAGACCGCAGAGCCGACAAGGAGCCCAGCCTCATTAATGGAGGTATCGGCACAGGCCAGGCTGAGCAGGGCTGGCACTTCACAGAAGAAGTCATTGATACGATTGTGCCCACACAAGGGTAGTCGCAGGGTCAAGCATGTTTGCACAAAGGAG